TGCCACTAACAGCACCACTCAAGGAGTTCTGGTAAATCTGGTGTCTCACAGCAATGTAAGGGTGCAGGCTGTCCGATGCTTAATCCAGAAAGCAGTGAAGTATGAGGAGATGAGAGACGCCGCACACCACTAGTTCAGCAGGTGAGAAGAAATGTGAATGGTCTCAGCATTTCATCCTGACCATTGGGGCTTAATCAAAGAGTTGTGCTGCATTGATGTTTGGTGGAATTCTCTGTCATTTCCAAATTTTCTCAGTATGGACCTTTATGGGGTTGAAATTTGATTTTTGTAAAAAATAAAAAAAAAAATCATAGAGCAACACTGAGATCCATATTGAGATCACATTTCATCCATTTTGGATTTAGATCCTTTAGAAAGTATTCAGATAAAAACATTAAGATGAAAAGTGCATTTCTAACAACATCGGGGTAAATCACTTTTCAATATTTACATAATAAGGTTTTTTTTTTTTAATTTTTTAAGAGCATTACCAATTTTCTGCCCTGAAAGGATCTGCTTTACCACATGTACCATACCCTTGGGTGATGCTTGGCTAGATATATAGGTTCAGCTCCCACCTGAATCTGGTGACACCTCCGATTATACCCAGAACACTTCGACACTCTGAGAATATTTTTTATGGGTTTTATTGAAGAAGACAAACCCTGAAAAAGAACTAGCTGATTTAACACAGGTAATGTACATAAATCACAGATACCACTTTGCATAACACAGTTAGTAAGAAGTCACAATTCACTTGCCAAAGACTCCAAAAACTGACTAGTATCACACTGACTAGGGTGACATATGAGAGTGACATTGACACATGAAACAATAACTGTTAATGAGGTTTAGCAGCTTATTGACATTTGTTATAGTAGTACTATCTAGAGCAGAAATGTCCTACCTAACCACTGGCCAGTGGGATGAAACTTAAAATCTCTCAACGTTGGGGCCCTTTAATCAATGGAAGAGCGCCCACTCTCTGAATGGGAGAGTATTTGTAATCCACGGGTAGCAGGATAGCACAGTCTCCTTTAAGCAGAATCTTCCAGTGAACATTGCAATAGAAAAGAACAACACTTCAACAAATCTTTACCATACAGGTGAAATCCTGATGTACTGACACTTGCTCAGTATATTCAAAGCAGCAAGCTTCTGTGGGGACTTGGAACTAAACACACTCTTCAGCCACAGCACAAGTCTTGAGGAGACAAACCAGTAATATACAGAGACAGCGTTCTCTCATCAATCAGCAGCAGGAATAGCTAATTCTGAGCAGCTTGGGCTTTCCAAGATCTGTGTCACTCTGAGAATTAGAGAGCAGGCTTTCTCATGACCATTCTCCAGAGATGAACAGCAAATGCAGCAATATCAAAATCCCCTTTCATCACAGAGTACTCACTGTTTCTGGATTGTCCTCTAGATAGCATTAGACAGTAGTAGAAATCCTCTCTCTTACAGCTGCTCCAGACTTTGAGAGACACATGCACTTGAGTGGCTGTAATTCTGAGTGTCAGGCAGGACAATCCTTGACTTGCACACTGTCCTCCTGCAACAATTCCTCTGCTACACACTCCCAGCTTAGCCCATGGGCTCTAGCAGCACAGAGAGTGAGACTCTGTGACTTTACACCTGGAGCCCTTGCTCTATGCGGTCCCCTGAAAATGTCTCCCTCCCCACATGTGCTTCTTCTTCCTTTTTTCCTTTTTTCCTCTCTCCTTTCCTCCACAGCCAATCAGCTGCAACAGTGCTGCTATGGGTGGATCCTTCTCAGCTGTAGCAACAACCAATCAGAGCACAGTCTTGCTTTCCCTGTCTGTCACTCACAAAGAGGGAAATGCTTTAAAGCAACCAGCACCTCTCTAAACACATTCTTTCTTATACTATATACTAAAATAGGAGGATTTGCCTTCATTATCACCAGCTGAGAATTTTGATGTTTTAACCAGTTCTTGACTGCACTATAGCCAAAAGACGGCTACAGCGCGGTTGGCTAGTTCTGGGAGGGCATACATTGATGTCTCCCCAGAACCACACCCCCTGCACTATGCGAGATCAGCTGATCACGTGACTAAGAAATTGGCCAATCACAGCCGCTTTTACCATGTGACTAGCTGTGTCCAACCACAGCTGATCACCAGGTAAATAGGAAATGCTGGTTATCGGCAGTCTGCTTCTCACGCTGACAGCGCATGAGAAGAGGAGATCCGATAAGCGGCATTTCGCAGGGGGACATCTACACTTATCATTAGGGCACTGATCATCAGTGTCCTAATGATCAGTGTAGCCCCATAATTGCAGCCAATAGTGCCCATCAGTGCCCACCTGTGCTGGCAATCAGTGCCCATCACTGTTGGCAATACGTGCCCATCAGTTGAATCAGTGACCATCAGTGCCAATCAGTTGAATCAATGCCCACCGGTTGAATCAGTGCCACCTATCAGTGCTATTAGTGCAGCCTATCAGTGCCCATCGGTTAAGTGAACCACAAAAAGAAAGCTCTATCTGTCTCAAAAAAATTATAAAAACTTAGTTTGGGTATAGCTTTGCATGAACGCACAATTGTCATTCAAAATATGAGAGCGCTGAAAGCTGAAAACTGGTCTAGGCAGGAAGGGGGTAAAAGTGTTCAGTAGGCAAGTGGTTAAAAAGGTCCATCGTGTGTGAGTATAGAAAATATGTCATCAAAAGTTTAATTTCTGCTACAAGAGATGCTTCTAATTGGAACTCAACTTCTGCTCTTCTGTTCTGGTAAAGCATTGAGCTAGTCCAATAAGCAGGAAATAACATTTCTACAGTTGTTCTGTACAGAAATGGTGCACAAAATATGCCACCAGCTTGCCATTTTGCAAAGAAGCAACATATACATTTTGGACAGTTTTAGATTATTATGACTGGCTGAAAATTAAAAGATAAAAGTACTTTTAATAATATTAGATTAGAATATGGCTTGTGTAGTAATTTTCAGTTAATCAAAAGTGGAGATTTAAACACTGAAGCTGATCATGAATGAAAACATGAGAACAAGAAGTGTGACTAGTAGTGAAAGTTTTATGGATTATGTTACCCAACATTTCATATTCCTGATTTCCTGATATGTGCCTGTTGTACCATCTACCTGTATGAAAAAGTATCCTGTTGTATTCCTTCCCCCTTGCGTATCCATTCACCTGGAAGACCAGTGTCCTGCTGTTCCTCCTCCCTTAGCTCTCTGAACTCCTTATGCAGCTGAGAACAGAGGGTATGTGGTCATTTTTCAAAAAAGGGGGAAGAAAAGGTATTTATAATGTGTTTTACATCTATACACAAATGTTTTGCCTTTCATTTATTTGAACATATGATGTGAAACTGCAACTAATACAACCACAGATAAAAATCTGTACTCACACTGAAATCTCTGTATACTTTTATAATGGGTTATCTGTCCAGTTTATGAGGAAGCTCTTTTGGATTCCTCCTCATTGCCCCAACCATAGGATTTAGTAAACAGGATAGAGTCAATCACCAAAAGCAGAGGTAAAAGGTTCCACACATGCTGTCTATTAGCCTAGTAGTTCCAACAATCTGTCAAGGAAGAAATATGCCACATGATACATGCTACACCAGATATTGGACACAAAGATTGTGTTTGCCGAATTATTTTTTAAAAAAAGAATGGACCTTTAAGGATGTTTGTGAAACTTTAAACTCCTTTGGTGATGCAAGTCTGCAATACATGCAATGAAGAGTTGTGCGTATTGACAAAATCATTCCTGATTGTATGTGGTACAGAGTGAGAGGAAGGGATAAGTGGGGCGATTCTGGCAAAAACTGAAAGTTCCTAAATTGACAGTAAACTCTAGCTTAAAGTGTTACTAAACCCACAACAGTAATATCAGTCTGTATATGCAGAAAAACATGCTTGTTATACACACTGTGGAACCTAAGGGGTTAATCCTCTGCTTTGTACAAAAAGGCTGTTTGATCCTGTCTCCTCTGATCCTCCTCTTCTGCTACAGTCACCAATCCATCTGCTGACATTACAGAGTTCTAGGAGGCACTCTGTGCATGCTCAGCTTGGTGTGTATTGCTAGAGAGTTTTTTTTTTTTTTCTTTGAGAGAGTGCATGTGATCAGCACAGGGCCATTCAGCACTGTCTAGAGAGAGGGTCAGGGGTTATGCAGCTACATAGGACAATCAGAAAAGAATGAAAACTCCTCCTAAAAACTTTAACCAGTGCTTTGCTGGACACTGATAGAAGTCACAAGATTGCTATATACTGCTGATGGGAAAAGGTATTTAGCAGTTTATATTTACTAAAATAAACGCATTTCCATGTTCTGTGTACTGTGGGAGACCTAATATAGTGAATGCAGGGTCCTGGGTTTAGTAACACTTTAAAAAAAATATTCAGGTATGTTTTAACAACTCAGAAATTTACCTTCTATTACTCTCAGCCCCAACTAATTCACCAATTTCCTTTTTCTTTGCTGCTCTGGTGCGACTCTATGTTAGAGGGTGGCTATGTTCATTCTCCATGGCCCCACTGTATGTAGAAACATAGTCACCCCCTCTTGCTCACTCCTGAAACTGTCTAGGGTCAATGGTCTATGGGATTTTCAGTGTGCATTGAGCAGTGCACATGACAGTAATTAATGTACACTGCTAGTTCCAAAGAAAGGAGACAGGAAAGGAAAGATTTTGGAGCTCACAGGGATTGTTACAAAGAGAGTAACAAACCATTTTAAGAAAAATGGATTGCAGTGTCATTAAGTAGTAGTCACTTTAATTTTGCTTTATTTAGAGGGTGTTGTTTTGTTTGTGAGTCATATTCAGTGTAGTTTAGTTGAGTGTTCTTTGCATTTGCATTTTCCCTCTTCTTTGGGCATTTGATCTTTTTTTCCATTGCTTGATTGTACTGTGAAAAAAAACATAAATTATAAAACTAATAAAGGGATGTTAAAGTGGAAGTAAAACTCAAAAATATGAAGAAAGCATATCCCTCTATAGTGTGTAATTGTCTCAATCCAGTGTCATTTCTGTCCACTTCATGGCTGAGTTGCTGTTGTTCCCAGTTGCTTCCACTTTGTTATAATACCACCAGGAGTTGACCGTGGAATATTTATTAGCAAGGAAATTTCACTGATGGACTTATTGTACAGGTAACAACCTATCACGGTACCATGCTTGATTTCACTGAGCGACTGAGAGCAACCCATTCTTTCACAAATGTTTGTAGAAGTAATCTGCATGCCTAGGTGCTTGATTTTATATGTAAAAATACCCTAACAACCAAAGGCCTTGTCCCAGGATTGGTATGTATGCAGAGCTACCCGTCATTGGTAGGCTGGACCTGGTTTGTGCCTGTCAGATGACCAGCTTGAAGGTTTTGTATATGGACTGAGAAGATAAAGCTTAGTGGCATACCTTCAATATCTACAAACTGCATATATATACACTTGGAGGAATTGAGCTTGTCTTTTGTTGCTCTCCCCTCTTGCTGTGATACGATACTCAGCGTCAACATTTGGAACTTTTCCACACAGCCGGATTTATATATGCTCTCACTTACCACATACAGTGAAGGAAATAAGTGTTTGATCCCCTGCTGATTTTGAATGTTTGCCCACTCACAAAGAAATGATCAGTCTAAAAATCGAATGGTAGGTGTATTGTAACACTGAGAGAAAGAATAGCAACAAAAAATTCAAAAGAAATGCATGTCTAACAAATTATGCACTTTGAAGTACTAAGTCATGTTTTGCTTGGGGATCAAATACTTATTTTGCTCACTGAACTGCAATTCAATTTATAACGTTTGTACCATGTGTTGTTTTTTTTTTAATTTTTGGTTGATATTTTGTCTCTATCATTTAAAATAAACCTATGATAAAAAGTATAGACCCATCATTTCTTTGTAATTGGGCAAACTTACAAAATTTGCATATATATATATATATATATATATATATATATATACATTTCTGAACTAAGCATCTCCTGCATACAAACTAGAAAAACTATTAGAATAAGAGAACATTTGAATGAAAAATGGTGATAATCCTGTAAGGGCATACAGTATAGTTCCAGGAACTGCATCAGAGGTACTTCTAGAGGATCTATTTCCACTCTCACAGGATAGGGGGACTGTGGGGATTATAGGGAGGGGTGGGGAATTAGCCTTTGGTGCTCTGGTTTGGGGATTTGGGGGGGTGATGGGGTTACCCAGGGAGGGAGGGTTGGGGTTGTGTTGGACTGGGGTGGGGGAGATTGGTGGGGGGTGGAGTGTTGGGAGGGGTGGATAGGAACAGGATACGTGCATTGTATGACAATATGATATGTGTTGTATACACTTTTTGTGTCCTTAATAAATTATATTTATACTGTTGATTAGCCTTTGAGGTGCTATATCCTTTACTTTGGGTTTTATCTGTAGTGCTTGATTTTATATACCTGTGGCCATGGAGGTGATAGGAACACCTAAATCCAATGATTTGGAGGGGTGTCCCAATACTTTTGGCAATATAGTGTATGTAGGAGGATTTGTTTAACCATTTGCCGCCCGCCCTATGGCGGAATGTCAGCCGGCAAATGTCATCAGCGTTCCGGGTGGACACCATATGGCGTCCTCCTGCACATGCGCAGATTGCGCTCCTGCAGAGCCGCGCAGCGGCGCGATCTGTCACCGGCCGTGTACCTCGGACACGGCCGATGACAGATCTGAGTATCGGCCCCCGTTGCCGGAACCATGTGACCAATCACAGTAGGTCACATGACAGTTGTATACAATGGATGGCTTCATTCATGCCATCCATTGTATACTAGTGTCTAGCTGTGAATGGTGACAGCTAATCACATGCACATGTCATGTGATTAGCTGTGGCCAAATAACAGCTAAGCACAAAAAAAAAAAAAAAAACAAAAAAAAAAACCCTGAATGAACCGATGTCATTCATCGAATTAAATGCCTGCTTATAGCAAAGTAATTCTTTGCTATAAGCAAATTGTGTAAAAAAAATTAAAAAAAAATTAAAAATACTGATCAGTTCCCCAAAGTAGTACAATGTTACTATGGTAACATTGTACTACTTTGGTCATAGTGAAATATGAAAAAAAAATCTTAAAAAAAAAAGAAAAAAAATTTAATTAAAAATAATAAAAAAATATATTTTTTTTTTTTCATACTGTCATCAGTCAGTGTCCCTGATCACTGCCATGCCAGTTATATGATGAGGCTGTACTGCACTGGTGACAATATGTAAAAAAAAAATAGTGAAACTAATTTTTTTTATTTTTCATTTTCTGAAAAATTATGACAAAAAAAATACAACTTCAAAAAACTCGTCATGCCTCTTATGAAGTACGTCGGACTGTCTACTTTGCAAAAAGGGTTCATTTGGGGGATATCTGTACTGTCCTGACATTCTTGGACCTCAAGAAATTAGATTGGCTGTCAGTACTTCAGGATTGATCAATATTCAGATCTATACCATAATTTGTGAACTCTATAACTTTCCTACAAACTAAAAAATACATCCTAATTTGGGTTATTTTCACCAACGACATGTAGTAGAATACATCTCGGCCTAAATTTATGAAGAACAATTATTTATTTGCAAACCTTTATAACACAAACAAAGAAAAACGTGTGTTTTTTTTCAAAATTTTTGGTCTTTATTTGTTAATTTAGCAAAAAATAAAAACCCCAGCGGTGATTAAATACCACCAAAAGAAAGCTCTAGTTGTGTGAAGAACATGATAAAATTTTAGTTTGGGTACAATGTTGTATGACGCGCAATTGTCATTCAAAGTGTGAGAGCGCTGAAACCTGAAAACTGGCCTGGGCAGGAAGGTGTAAAATTGCCCGGTATTGAATTGGTTAATCTCTATGTATCACCATAGGCCAGTCACTTCATAGGGTACATGTAATAGTTTACAACCACTTTAAGGTTATTTAAAGTCAACTGCACCCTACCACCAGAAGCCACCCTAATTTCACCTCATTGATTCTAATGCATTTGAATAAAATTGTAAAATTTCACTATAAATCCCTTATTTTGTCAAAACTTTAAGATCTCTCAAAGGTACAAGGCAGCATCAAAGATAATATGAGGAAGCCAAACAAACATAGTACATAAAGATCATGAAAATTTGGCACAAACTGCCAAAAGGTCATCAAAATATCTGCCATAAACCAAACTGACATAGCATATGTCACATTTCAAGCTCTGTGATTCATTTAATTCATTTTACCGTGCCATTTTACTAAATGGCACGGTATTTAATGGTTAAGTTAATTTCGTTTTAAAATAGGGAAGTAAGTGAGTCAGGAATTAGTTTACTACTGCATTCAAGGTGAACTTGATTCCTCTAAATGGAATTTGAAGGGATGGTAGTTAACTAAACTTCCTTCACATAAAAGACAATGAGGTACAGGTCAGAAGATTGGGTTAACTGCAAAAAGCCTTTTGCCCAGTCCCCAGGTGATACCTGAAACAAGGAAGCACTCACTTTGCAGGCTTAAGCGCAGGAGAGGCTGAATGTCACACAGTGACTGCTTTGCATTTGACCCATCAGCCAAGCTGAAAAGTAAAAAAATCAGCCTCTGCTGCTAAGCAAAGAGAAGGACTTGAATGTCAGGGAAGCATTGTTAGACATCTATCTTTATGCATAAGGACTATCATGTGTATAGTACTGAATAGAAACCCTTGAATAAAGACAGTATCCCATTTTTTTCCTTTAACAGATGCATTTAGAGGAGTTATTGAGCCAGCAGCATTGGGATATTATGTTCAAGAAGATGCCATCAAAATAAACGTATGCACATGGGGCCAAAAAAGAGCATGTGCAGTTAATGGCTGTTTTTTTTTTTACTGGATAAGCCAGAAAGTGATACATGACCATTGCGTACAAGTGGAATGTTGGAAGCACTATCTATCTATGTTGTATTTGTCTATCTACAGTATCTATCTATCTATCTATCGATCGATCTATCTATCGATCTATCTAATATCTATCTATGTAGGATGCCAGGATGTTTTCCTTGCAAAGGCAATGTGGAGCCAGGCAGAACAGCACAGTGAAGATCACAGGGGCAGAAAGGTAGGTAAGTGTGTTACCAGGTGGGCTGCACTTGGGGCAATGGAAAGGGGGGGGGGGGTATTTTTGAGTAAGAAAACCTGTCATAAAAGATATATGCTGGCTGCCATTGCTAACATATCCTTCTGAAAATGCTAGTTTCCTTATGATCATGCTGTTGCTTCATCTTTATTAACCTTGAACATGTATAGATATAAGACTTTATGACTTTCCTCTGAAACTCATTTGCTGAATCATTGCTCAGAAGCCAGAGAAATCTATTTACAGAGTCTTCAATGGCAACCCCCATATTTCCATGGTGAGAGATAAAATGGAGGCTGTAATTGTTGACTTGCTTTGGAAAAGAACATTTGTTTAGTTATCATGGAGTCATTACTTTCTTTTAAGTCATGGACCAAAAACAAGAATGCATAATAGGAAAGTGAAGTCAAATTTCTTGAACACTTATTCTTAGTTATTGACTCAAAAAGTACTGAAACCAATATATTGACATGACAGACAGAAAAAAATGTATTTTTATAATGACAGTTTGACAATGTTTGGGCTGCAGACAGTTTTCAGTTTTGTATTTTTACTTGGGACTGTTAAGGTTTCCCATACCTAAGCTGAACTGTTTTTGGATGATCCTCAGTGGGTGAGAAAGAAAGAAGGATTGTTATACTCACTATATAAAATCCTTTTCTTGTAGTCATTTAAGGGACAGAGTTTGCACCCCATGTTGTTCATGGTCATGATCTCGATAAATGAGGCATGCTGGCAGTAGGTTGGTTATCCTGGGCTGGCCTACAGTTTTTTTTTTATTTGCTAGTGTCCATTCATCTTATAGGTACCAGTATAACTTGAAGGTTTAAGACTTTCTGGGGTTTATTTACTAAAGCTGGAGAGTCCAAAATCAGACTCCCTTCTGCATATAAACCAATCAGCTTCCAGGTTTCATTGCCAAAGCTTCATTGAACAAGCTGAGGTTAGAAGCTGATTGGTTTCTATGCAGAAGGGAGTCTGATTTTGGACTCTCCAGCTTTAGTAAATAAACCCCTCTGTGTCTGTCAATGGATTTCTAGAAAAGGATACAAAAGGTCTAAATACAATATTTTGTATATTTGTCATTTAGCAAGTCAAAACATAGGGGATAATCCTGTTGCCCATGGACATTATGTTTATCATTACTCAACTGGTTATTTAAAATTATAGAGTATCCTTGTATGACTGTTTATAGTATACAGTATTAGCAAATTGCAGTGCGGGTATTTTACTTGGAATCACAGTAAGACACAGTACCCTAACAGAAGAAGTACCCTAACATTGTAAATAACAATGCTGGTAGTCTTGGAGGCCTGTTATGACACTATGGTAGTCTACAGTAACAAGGTGATGGTCTCTAATAGTTTCCAGTAAAATGTTGGTGCCCTCTTATGATCTACTTTTATGTATCAAGGGGTCCCTTTATAGCTTCTTCCCAAGCCTCACTTGGAGTGGTCTCCAACAGTCTTTTGTAACAGGACATGTCTCTGATAACATCTTCCCATTTAACAGAGCAGTTATGGTCTGCCTTTGGGCCCTCTTGTTTTAACTCCCTCTTGCTCAGTACTATTTTCTGACAATAGTATCAATCACAGTGTCTAGTTCTTTATTGTCATGATACTAGCAACAGTGAAACAAAGGGACTCTCCATTCTCCCATGTAACTCCAGCCAAAACTTTTTTAGTTTAGGATGGAGTTGGAAAGAGCGAGACACTTTTTTTTAATGCACTTCCTGTTCCCAGAGACAGAATAGGAAGTATGTTGAAATCTCATCAAAGTGAGGTGAAATCTCACATTTGATAACAGTCACTGGAGCAAGTGTCTCCACTGTAATATTTTAATTTTATTCCTTTTCAGGTGACAACTGCAAAATGTTGTATTCCCCATCTTTTCCTCTAACTGTGACAAGATCACTTGAGGAACAGTGAGGTTGAATGTCCCGAAGAGGGACACAGAAAGTAAAAAAATTATCTCAAAGGTTCAAACTAGGGATGAGGTTTTGAACAAAGTAGGATACAGTCTGAATTTTGACTGTTTGGCATTCATTGGTCAGGTATTCACAGGCCCACTGAGAAGAACCATGGAAAATCATGCATTTAGCAGCGGCATTACTATTTATTTTAGAATGTACAGCAAAATTACAGCAAAACTAAAAATAAATGTTGCTGGTAAATTACATTTGCCTCTCTTTTTTATTTCTGGAAAAAATAGTATATGAACCCCCCCAAAGGTTCCGCAAAATACATATGAATTTTGGTAGTGATACTATTCTATTTATAAATAAAAGCAATTAAGGTGACCGGAAAATGTCTGTTACCAGTAACTTAAATTGCATTTATTTCCTTTGTAAATGTCAGCTTTGCTATGTTACATTGTATTCATTATACAGGTGTGCCATTTTACAGGCAGGTGTAATGCATCTGCCATGCATGTTTTTTAAAGGAAATGTGTATTATTAAGCTGCATTAAAATGACTGTCAAAAACAGTGATTATAAAGAAAATTGTATTTAAAAAGAAAATTGCAATAATACATGATGTCAGTGTCCAGCCATCCATGTCATTTGTTTGACAATCCCTTGCCTATTAAAGATTTGATTCCCATTGACTATACTGGGCTTCGAATTTACCTTCAAACTTGCAAACTGTTCAGCAAATGTTCTGGAAACCAAACCCAGGTATAGACATTACAGTGGGGCAAAAAAGTATTTAGTCAGCCACCAATTGTGCAAATTCTCCCACTTAAATAGATGAGAGAGGCCTGTAATTGGCATCATAGGTAGACCTCAACTATGAGAGACAAAATGAGAAAAAAAATCCAGACAATCACATTGGCTGATTCGGAAAGAATTTATTTGCAAATTTTGGTGGAAAATAAGTATTTGGTCACCTACAAACAAGATTTCTGGCTCTCACAGACCTGTACCTTCTTCTTTAAGAGGCTCGTCTGTCCTGCACTCATTACCTGTATCAATGGTACCTGTTTGAACTTGTTATCAGTATAAAAGACACCTGTCCACAACCTCAAACAGTCACACTCCAAACTCCACTATGGTGAAGATCAAAGAGCTGTCGAAGGACACCAGAAACAAAATTGTAGACCTGCACCAAGCTGGGAAGACTGAATCTGCAATAGGCAAGCAGCTTGGTGTGAACAAATCAACTGTGGGAGCAATAATTAGAAAATGGAAGACATACAAGACCACTGATAATCTCCCTCGATCTGGGGCTTTACGCAAGATCTCACCCCGTGGGGGCAAAATGATCACAAGAACGGTGAGCAAAAATCCCAGGACCACACGGGGGGGACCTAGTGAATGACCTGCAGAGAGCTGGGACCAATGTAACAAAGGCTACCATCAGTAACACACTACGCCGCCAGGGACTCAGATCCTGCAGTGCCAGACTTGTCCCCCTGCTTAAGCCAGTACATGTCCGGGTCTGAAGTTTGCTAGAGAGCATTTGGATGATCCAGAAGAGGATTGGGAGAATGTCATATGGTCAGATGAAATCAAAATAGAACGGTTTGGTAGAAACACAACTTGTCGTGTTTGGAGGAGAGAGAATGCTGAGTTGCATCCAAAGAACACCATACCTACTGTGAAGCATGGGAGTGGCAACATCATGCTTTGGGGCTGTTTCTCCGCAAAGGGACCAGGACGACTGATCCATGTACAGGACAGAATGAATGGGACCATGCATTGTGAGATTTTGAGGGCAAACCTCTTTCCATCAGCAAGGGTATTGAAGATGAAACGTGGCTGGGTCTTCCAACATGACAATGATCCCAAACATACCGCCCGGGCAACAAAGGAGTGGCTTCGTAAGAAGCATTTCAAGGTCCTGGAGTGGCCTAGCCAGTCTCCAGATCTCAACCCCATAGAAAACCTTTGGAGGGAGTTGAAAGTCCGTGTTGCTCAGCGACAGCCCCAAAACATCACTGCTGTAGAGGAGATCTGCATGGAGGAATGGGCCAACATACCAGCAACAGTGTGTGCCAACATTGTGAAGACCTACAGGAAACGTTTGACCTCTGTCATTGCCAACAAAGGATATATAACAAAGTATAGAGATGAACTTTTGATATTGACCAAATACTTATTTTCCGCCATAATTTGCAAATAAATTCTTTGCAAATCAGCCAATGTGATTGTCTGGATTTTTTTTCTTGTTTTGTCTCTCATAGCTGAGGTCTACCTATGATGCCAATTACAGGCCTCTCTCATCTTTTTAAGTGGGAGAACTTGCACAATTGGTGGCTGACTAAATACTTTTTTGCCCCACTGTATATTGCCAAAAGTATTGAGAAACCCCTCCAAATCATTGGATTCAGCTGTTCCAATCACCTCCAAGGCCACAGGTGTATAAAATCAAGCACCTAGGCATGCAGACTGCTTCTCCAACATTTGTGAAAGAATGGGTCACTCTCAGGAGCTGAGTGAAATCAAGCGTGGTACCGTGATACTACCTGTGCAATAAGTCCATCCATGAAATTTCCTTGCTACTAAATATTCCACGGGCAACTGTTAGTGGTATTATAACAAAGTGGAAGCAACTGGGAACAACAGCAACAACATAGTTGTAGGCCACGTAAAGTGACAGCGGGATCAGCACATTCTGAAGCGCACAGTGCACAGAAGTTGCCAACTGTCTGCAAAGTCAATAGCTATAGAACTCCAAACTTAGTGTGGCCTTCAGATTAGCACAACAAAAGTGCTTCATGAAATGGGTTTCCATGGTCGAGCAGCTCCATCCAAGCCCCACATCACCAAGTGTAATGCAAAGCGTCGGATGCAGTGGCGTAAAGCACACTGCCACTGGACTCTAGAGCAGTAGAGACGTGTTCTCTGGAGTGACAAATCATGCTTCTCTGTATGGCAATCCGATGCACATGTCTGGGTTTGGTGGTTGGCAGGAGAATGGCACTTGCCTGACTGCATTGTGCCAAGTGTAAAGTTTGGTAGAGGTGGGATTATGGTGTTGGGTTGTTTTTCAGGGTTGGGCTTGGCCCCTTAGTACCAGTGAAGAGAAAACTTAAGGCATCAGCATACCAAGACATTTTGAACAATTTCTGCTTCCAGCTTTGTGGGACCAGTTTGGGGGTGGCCCCTTCCTGTTCTGACATGACTGCGCACCAGTGCACAAAGCAAGGTCCATAAAGACATGGATGAGCTTGTTTGTGGTGGAGGAACTTGACTGTCCTGCATAGAGTCTTGGCCTAAGCCTGATCACCAACCTGAACATCTTTGGGATGAATTAGAGAGAAGACTGCAAGCCAGACCTTATCATCTGACATCAGTGCCTGACCTCACAAATGTGCTCCTGGAAGAATGATGAAACATTCCCATAGACACACTCCTAAACCTTGTGGACAGCCTTCCCAGAAAAGTAGAAACGGTTATAGCTGCAAAGGGTGGGCCAACTCAATATTGAACCCTATGGACTAAGACTGGGACGCCATTAGAGTTCATTTGCATGTAAAGGCAGGCGTCCCAATACTTTTGGCAATATAGTGTATCTCATCAATAATTCTAAGCATTCTCCACTTTGTCCAAAATTTAGAAAAAACAGGATTTTTGTACTTATGGTAAATCTGTTTCTTGTCCCTTCAAAAAAGGACACAGAGTTCAGTATTTAGAGATGATTGGGTTATATGCTGTTTAAAGGAGGATTTGGACACTGACATACAAAGAAGCCGTTGGCCACCCAGGTATAATCCCTCTCAACATGCTTCAGTTTGGTAGAGAAGATTACAAACAGAAGGGTTGGACCTGTATCCTTTAATATTCTCTAATAAAAGGATTTTACAGTAAGTACAAAAATTCTGTTCTCTTTTTTGTTAAGTAAGAGACACAGAATTTAGAATTGAGAGATGACTGAGACATCCAAAAGCAGTCCAGCTGAGGGGTGGACAACAGTAAGAAAAAACTATTAGGCCACGATAACAAATACAAAAATAGTAAACTGGGGCAACCTACAGCTCAAGGGGCTGCCTGAAGATCTTTACACTCAAACATGGCATCAGAAGAGGCCTGAACATGTGCCTCGTAAATCTAAAGCTGGCCATAGATAGAGAGATTTTCTTTCCTGCAACCACCAGTCAGTGTTGTTGGAGGAATCCCTCACATGGGGCTATTGTGTTTTCCCTGCAGAGGGGGTGGGGGAGCTGCCCATGCTGGGAGAACACAATGATTATTGTTAATGGGTACAATATCCACTAGCAATAATTGCATGTAAAATCCAACAGGCTGGTTGTACCCAAGTTGATTGATCAATCAATTTGGGTACATTCATCCCGCCCATACATGGTTCATATTTCTGCCTGTCCCTGCTGAACCGTGAACCGGCTGTAATTCGAACTGTCTATGGCCATGTATGAACAGAACAGCAGGTGGCAGCTTTGAAAATCTGGAAAACAGTTGCTTGATACCTAATAGCCCAGTTAGTATTCTCGAATCCAGTACAGTACACCTAGACCAAAATAGGTCAATCCTTATCCTTAAAGTTGTAGCAAACTCTCTTTTTTAATTTTTAACTACAGGTAAGCTTACAATAAGGCTTACCTGTAGGTAAGATGAAAATCTCCTGAACATTCACCATTTAGGAGATATTCAAATGAGTGGCAGCCGGTGATGTACACTGTGCTTGCGTTTTGAAGGAACAGCATACCCGTGCCATTTCTTCAGAGCTGTGTGCCACAGCCGAGACTTCCATGCACATGCACAGGAGAGACATCATCGCTGCTCAGCCATTTAAGTGACTACAGCCCATGAACCCCCGGAAGAAGGATCAGGTGAAGAAGGAACCTCTGCAGTGTTGACAGCACACGGCCGGAGTGCTTCATTTTCAGGTAAGTCTTTCTTTATGTTGTGCATACTAGCACATTATGACATTGCCTTGCAGGAAGAAACTTTTTTTATTTTTTCAAACAAGAGTTTACTACCTCTTTAACGCTATAAACTTGAATGATAATTTGTTTGAGCAATGGAGAAATGGCAGAGCAAGAAATTGGTTCCCCTTTACAGGGACAGGAATGCCAAAGAGAGATGAATATCCCTAATAGATTCAAAGTGCAATTCTTGAAGAGCTGACAAAACATGCTTCAATTCCCATGGAGTCACAGGAGGAACACTATCAGTGATACCTTTTACAAAAATATTAACCAATGAATGGGGCGATATTAGTCTTAGGAATAAGACCGCAAGGGCTGAGATTAGCCTTTTTATTTACTTAGGGCCAAATGCTGATCAGACCGCGCAAAACATATTGAGCAAATAATTTACTGGAATTGGAATATCCCCTAGCTGAACCAATTATTCATCACAAATTGGTAGCCCATGTGGCATTAATATGTTAGTCTTCTGTTTTCTATGGGGGTGACCTATTCCAATGTATTTTTGATTCAACAATGTTCCCGTGCTATCAAGACTAGTTATGTTGAGCCATTAATTGTTGTGCATTATTGCATACACTCCCTTATATTTCTGTTTTTAACTACTAAGATTGTAATAAAGAATGTATTTAAAAAAGAAAAACATTTGTTTGTGAGGTTATGTGCCTAAAAAGTCCATACTCTACACTTCTCAGACTATATTGACTCTAGGACATGCACATACAGTTGCAAGAAAAAGTATGTGAACCCCTTGGGATTACGTGGAGTTTTGCATGAATTGGGCATAAAATGTGCTCTGAACGTCATCTAAGTCACAACAATAGAAGAACACAGTCTGCTGAACATAATACTACACAAACATTAGATGTTGCCATGGTTGAATTGCACATAACATGTAAACATTCACAGTGCAGGGAGGAAAATGTATGTCAGGGCCCTAGCTTAATGACTTCTCCCAGAGCTAATTGGAGCCAGGAGTGAGCCAACCTTGACTCCAAACAGTGTGATGATATTGGATGTGTTGCTGACAGCTGTCCTGCCCTTAAAAAACACACACCTGTTTTGGGTTTACTGGTTTCAAGAAGCACTGTCTGATGTGAACCATGCCTCGCAGAAAAGAGCTCTCAGAAGACCTACGATCAAGATTGTTGACTTGCATGAAGCTGGAAAGGGTTACAAAAGTATCTCCAAATGCCTTGATGTTCATGTGTCCACGGTAAGACAGACTGTCTATAAATGGAGAAAGTTTAGCACTGTTGCTACTCTCCCTAGGCTTGGTCGTCCTGTAAAAATGACTGCACAGCGCAGAATGCTGCATGAGGTAAAGAAGAATCCCAGAGTGTCAGCTAAAGACCTACAGAAATCTCTGGCACATGCTAACATTTTTGTTGACACATCTACAATAAGGAAAACATTAAACAAGAATGGAGTACAAGGGAGGACACCACGGAGGAAGCCATTGCTGTCCAAAAAGAATAATGTAGCACGTTAGAAGTTTGCAAAAAAACACCTGGATGTTCCACAGCACTACTGGCAAAATATACTGTGGACAGATGAAACCAAGATTGAGTTGTTTGGGAAGAACACACAACACTATGTGTGCAGAAAAAAAGGCACAGCACACCAACATCAAAACCTCATCCCCACTGTAAAACATGGCAGAGGGAGCATCATGGTTTGAGGCTGCTTTGCTGCCTCAGGGTCTGGACGGATTGTTGTCATTGATGGGAAAATGAATTCCAGAGTTTATCAAGACATTTTGCAGGAAAACGTACGACCATCTGTCCGCCAACTGAAGCTCCGCAGAGGATGGGTGATGCAACAGGACAATGACCCAAAGCATACAAGTAATTCAACAAAACAATGGCTGCAACAGCACAGAATACGCCTTCTGGAGTGGCCCAGTCAGAGTCCTGACCTCAACCCGATTGAAATGCTGTGGCATGACCTTAAGAGAGCGATTCACACCAGACATCCCAAGAATATTGCTACACTGAAACAGTTTTGTGAAGAGGAGTGGTCCAAAATTACTCCAGATCGTTGTGCAGGTCTGATCTGCAACTACAGGAAACGTTTGGTTGAGGCTATTGCTGCCAAAGGAGGGTCAACCAGTTATTAAGTCCAAAGGTTCACATACTTTTTCCTCCCTGCACTGTGAATGTTTACATGTTATGTGCAATTCAACCATGGCAACATCTAATGTTTGTGTAGTATTATGTTCAGCAGACTGTGTTCTTCTATTGTTGTGACTTAGATAACGTTCAGAGCACATTTTATGCCCAATTCATGCAAAACTCCACGTAATCCCAAGGGGTTCACATACTTTTTCTTGCAACTGTATTTACTGGTTCTGGTTCCCATAGTATCACCCTATGGTAACACCCCAAAAATTCCTCTAAATTTCCTGATCCAAACCTGACTGCAGAAAGGTCAAGATTCTACCCTCGAAGTATATTTTTTTATTTGAATGAAGAAATTAAAAGCTGTCAGATTCAAGATGGGATGGGATGGGACTAGGTGTACACAAAGGCAAACAGACCATCAAATTGGAAAGTGGAAATGTCCCTTTATGATGAAGAAGATATGTCTGCAGGTTTATAGGGTTTAGTGATGCAAGGTTTGCAACTGAAGTGGGCCCTTGGCTTTGATCCGGCCTTGGAGTGTGAAGTCTGGGAGAAACAAAAGGAATCCTTCCTGGCTTCAGAGGACTAGGCTTCTGCTGCTGGAAAAAATTAGTACTCTTACCGGAAGTAATGTTCGTTATGAAGACGTATAAAGAAGTAACAAAGAGGCATGTACTCTGAAAATGCTTCAGAGAGTACTATCACTTCATAGAGGAGGGCAAAGAAAAGCATAGTGTGCCCAGACACTTCCTAGAGCAACATGATAAATACGCGGAAGGATTAATAGTGTGGATTATTGAAGCCATGCCTCAAGACCTTCCTCTGGCAGAGTGTTTTCAGCGTTTCTGCCAGAGAGAAACCTATTGGAGCTATAGTTTGGATATATTGTCCCCAGGAGGTCTGAACGAGGAGTTCGAAATAAGCTCTATCTTGTATATTCACTTTGTCATATCTTCTGGTTGATTTACCATTTACTAATTATGTCTTCTCTAATTATTACAGGTTTTTTTCTCCTCTCTTTCCATTAATTAATGAAACCCTTCATTATATAATAATGGGAAATAATGAATTCATCATTCCTGTAGACAGCCACAGTAAGTGTATATCCACACAGTAATAATTAAAGATATAACAGGCTTCATATCATATGGCATGTTACAGTTTTATATCATTTTCTATCTCTCTTTCTTCTCCCCTTCCTTAACTTTCCTCTTATTACTCTAGCTTGGAAAGTGACAGTTCACCTGTCCCGAGGACAATACTGTCCCATATACAGTATATCTGTATTTCTTGTTGCATATGTATTACAGTATTTTTTTAGTGCTATGTTTATGACGACCACACATATATCTTGTACCAATTATTGCTATATAGCGGCTAACATAACCGTAATTATCGCTTGATTTTATGTTTCTCATTATTGTTATAGATTTTATGCTTCTTATGATTTTTCAAGATTCTTTGTGTCAAGGCATAGTCTTGATGTTTCAATATTTTAGGGCTTTAGGACCTGTAGTTGTCCGTGGTCCTTTATCCC